CACCAACTTTTCAGACCTTCTTCTGTCAGCCTGAACTGTAGCGTCAGGCAAGGGCAGAGGAAGAAGTGATCCTAAACCACCATCGCCTGAGGAATATGTGTTCGCCATCCTCTTTACGCAAGAGACATGGCTGCAGCAAGGACCCAAACTGGAAGTCTTAACAAGAACCTTTACTTCAAGAAAAGCTGTTCAAATCTCAGGTTAACCTGTTGCGTACGAAGTTTGGCCTACATTCGAGCTCATTTCTACATTACAGTGCATTTTCATGCGGGGGGCCTGCCAATCGATTTAGGCTTTAGGGGTTAGGGTTCTCCGGGGTGCTCACAGATTTCAAGGCTGGTATAGTGGGTGTGCGCTTGCTTTTCTTGGATCAAAACGGCGACCTGCACCCTACACCCTGGCCCTAAACCTTACAATCCCAAACCAGGAGCAATAGAAACCCTTCACCATGCAGCTTGCCCCTTCATGGTGCAAGGCAAGTATCCTAAGCCCTTTATAGCCCCAATATGTACCCTACTACAATAGTTTTCATTTTCTTTGCCATTATTCCTATACAAACCGTATATTACCCCCATATAGCTCTAAACCAAACAATTGGGGAAGGAATACAGAGCAGGCTTCGGCGTTTCGGCCTAAGAAGGACCCAAATCTCCCAGCCCTGCAGCCCCAAAGCAAAAGTTCCGAACAGGGATAATGGACAAGAAAATGGAAGCTACCATATTAGGGTATATATTAGGGAGATATACTCGTAGGGATAGTGGTAAAGAAAATGGAAGCTGCTATAATAGGGTACATATTGGGGCTAAATATAGGGATAATGGAAACTACAATGGAAACTACTATATAGAGTTTGGGGTTTTAGGTTCCCAACATACTTCTCAGCTTGTTTGATCAATGGCACAGTTGCCAACTTCCGAGCTGTCGCGAATCCTGTCGATTTTGAATTAGGTTTAGGATTCGATTATGTTTGGCAAGCTGTACACATTAATGTACTCAACCAAAGTGGTGCTGCAAACCATGCGTTGTGACAGGAAACTGGCCTTGACGCCTGGAGGGCTATAGCTAAGAGCCCCAGGCATCTTATGCAAACTCCTTTCATGGGACTTCCAGAGTGTGTGGGAGCCTGGGCAAGTAGACTTATGGAGAACTGGCGAGTTTAGATTTTGTTTGGGACAGCCCTTCATAAGTCTAGAACATGCAGACCCAGCTTGCCACCACGAATTTGCACAAGAGTTTTTCGAAGAAATGATATGGATCATGGGATGCTACACTGAACTCCCCTTTACTCCCCATGCCTCCTCTGTTGCCATTATGATTCCAACAGGCAACAAAATTAGAAACACCCATCTGTACATCCTTTAAACCTTGAACAATGCTCAGAATTCCTAAGCCCTAAACCCTCAAACACCCTCATTTGTGATTCCCTAAATGCCTACACCCTAAACCCCAAACCCTAAACCCTAGCCTTCCTACCAGGCTGTGAACGACCATCTGCTAGACCCAGACATGCCAGACATGAAGCCCGAGCAGGTTGAGGCCCGGGGTGGGTTTAGGGTTTAGGGTTTAGGGTTCAGGATTTAGGGTTTAGTTGGGGTTTAGGGAATATCTCCTAATATTAAAGACCCCCACGGTGATATGGGTGGGGGGGCATCTAGTGGTTAATCTTCGTGTTTCCCACAGCGCCCAGCGCCAAACATGTTATCGCACTGGACTGGAATTTCTCTTTAAGCGGTGGCAGCGGGTCTGTTGTTAGGGGGAGGTTGTTTTCATGAAGCCAGCACTGCAAGCATGCAAAGTGGAGATTCCACAAGTTGTGGGCCCCTTATTGAGCTATAGTCTACACTCCTTCAAAGGGTGTTATATAGGGGATTACATAGGGGAGTGTTATAAGGCTTAACAAGGGGGATACTAGGAGTTAAGGCTATGGTTCATTGGAGGATCATAATAATTATAACAAGGATTTCTTGCCATCTCAGGATGCGGAAGCCACATTCCTAGTTGTGTTGACAACTCCTACATGAGCCATAGTCTGAACTCCTGGTATCCCACTTAACAACCCTTACAAGAGTCCCCTATATTATCCCCTTTAAGGAGTTTAAACCTCCCTACACCCTAAACCCATTCTAATCCCCTATAGAACCCCTTTAAGCTCACATGGCAGTGGCAGCAAGGCGGCCATTCTCTATTTCGATAATGTGTTCACTACGATGCTCAGCCTCTGGGACGAAAGAATTTCCATAAATCGTGGGTCTCAACATTGAACCCAATATGCTATGATATGTTAGAAGGACCCCCCACCCTGTAATAGTGTCTCTAAGGGTCACGAAGGGTTATATTAGGGTCCTATTATATTCCTACTATACCGCTATTACCGGATGGGGGGTCCTCCTGCATGATATCTGTTGTTTTTATGAGCCCCTGTAAAGGCACCCCTGAGTCTTGGAAATCCCCATATGAAAGTGTAGGTGTCAAGAAATTAAGGGCTTCTTTATATGGGGGGCCCCTAGGGACACCTGGGATGTATGGCATGGGGCTTATGTAGGATCATGAAGGTCCCGTTTTAGAGATTACAGTCATTTTTTGAGCAACTCCTGAATGATGTACCCCTTTTTTGGTACATTGGATTGCGGTGCACTGTAATCTGGTGAAGGCCGATGAGACCCTCAGTTTGGAAACTATGCAGTGTTCTTTTGAATTACCTCATGTTGTTCCCGATGAGCTGAATAGGGGATGGACGCAATAGGTTCGGCAAATTGCGAGCGGGTGCAGGGCAAGCAAATGTGGGTTTTGGGTCTAGGGGCTAGGGATCTGTCTTACAGCAGCATTTCCTGAGGAATCAGCTGTTTCTACCATACAGAGTTAGCAGTAGCAACTCCTCCGATGTCCATCCATTTGGGCGCGCATTGTTGCCTCAAAAGTTCTTCCATTCCGGCGTGACGTCAGCATTGCAGGCAAAGGGCCTTCTTAACCTTGAAAATGTACACTCACACCTTGGTGGGTACATTTTTCACCACGCTGCGCTGTGCACAATCTGCAGTGGGGTTCTTTTGTGGAAAGGGCGCATGTTACCGGGCGATGCGTGTTGCTTGCGGACATATCGCCGCCAAGTTGAAGGAAGTGTGCGAGTCTTGCACGACCTCTTGTTCTGCTTGTGCAGTATTTGATGCAGAATGCAAGTAGTCGCAACATCAGCGTTTCCTTGGGCTCAAGGACCGAACATGTTGTTGACATCGCTGGATTGGACGGTGAAATTGTTTCATTGCAAACACTTTCCTAGCACCAAGGAAAGACTTTGATTTGTTTTTGGGCAGTAGCCCTGACCGCGTGCATGGGCTCTGGCTTCGCTTGCAGGCTGCAGGTCACCGCACTGCCGACCTTCTGGCCGGGGTTCCCAACAGTACCCAACAGTAGCCAGGAAGGAACAGCCAACATGATGGCTCGATCCTGGCGTCCATCGATGTCAGGACTTCGACCAAACGCTTTCTGATGGATGGACAAAGCAGGAAAACTCTTCTACTACATCCCCCGGAGACTAGTGCTTCTGTTGCTGAGGCACTAAGAACCTTCTGGTGCAGGCTCGAAGTGTCACAGTGCCTTCCAGTTTACCATATGTGCAATATCGGTATCATGGCAGAGCTGCAGAGCAGGTATGCGCCAGACGCATGATTCAGCTGCGTGTTGGACACGATTCGGGTAGCGATGCTGACTATGTCCATCTGCTCAGGGATTTTTATCTGGTACTTCCTCCGGCTTGCTCAGATGTGAAGGAGATGACGCTCTTGGGGCTCGTTCCCATGGACTGGGGGACAGCGGGGCTTGGCTTTGATGTCGAGTGTTGCCCTGGGCGCTGGAGCGTTGCTTTTTCTGCGCCTGGCACATGGTATCCGAGCGCAACTGAAGCCTGCTTTCTGTGATAGGAGATGCTTGGAGTCTCTCTACCTCAGCACTGGCTGCGAAGGCAGCCCCTTTCAGCAGAAGCATCATCTCCTTAAAACACCATTTCGTGAAGGGTTCCTTCGTTGCGGCTCTTTGTTCTAAAGTGTGAAGCTGATTTCGTTTTGGCAGCTTCTCTGAGCTCAATGACTTGTACGTGCATGCAAACTGTTTGATACGTGGGGTGTTCTACCGACGTGACTATAAGGAAGGCGCGGTTGATAACAATATGTGATCAGTTCGTTAGCACACTGGGTACAGCCAGAATATGTGGGCGTATGCGTCCTGCGTGCATTAGCTAGATTCCCCCCGCCTGAACTCTGAGACGATATGGTGTCTACGGTGCCTCCGTTGAGAAGGTGAAAAGGACGTGGTCGGCAGGCCGCACGGTAAGTGCTGGTCAACACTTGTTCACCCACTCACTCACTCATTCACCCACTCACTATTACTTTTTACGCTTTCAGGAGAACGACACTTTGGGGTACAGCCAAAGTATCTTTTGCGTGCAAGAGTGTAAAAGGGCTTACACTTGTGTGTTGCGATATGCCTCGATGTTGCGCTGATAAACTGACAGGCTGACAGGATGTCGATTGAAGTGCTCCCGTGCTTCTTGACGTATCGTTCCATCAGCCAGTTGACTGATCACTGGAGGAGTGATTGACCCACGCGCGATTATGTGCAGCGTGGTACGCTCTCCGTTCAACTTGGAACAAGGTTGATGCGTTATTTAGCTTGCTCATGCTGCCGTGGTAGTGCGGTTTCTTGCGGCATTCTTGCCATGGCTTGCGGATGTATAGTTTGGATTTTAAAAGTGAACAACTATGTATGATGTTTCACACCACGCATGGCGAGTTGTGTGTGAAACACACAGCGAAAAATGGTGGTGCTGTGAAGCTGGCTTCCCATAGTTTGGCGCAACCAAAGCTACAAGCAGCACGGGGTATCGCATTGATTGTTATTGTTTTGTCAACTTGCTTCAGACTTCGGCTTTTTCATGATGCATCGTTGAACCGGCGTGTTGTGTGGCATGTCTTGATGCGGATGACACCAGCATCTAAGGTCTTTTCATGAGCATTGCAGGCGGAGTGAGCTGGGAACAGGTGTTGGTTCCACTGAAAGCTATAGCCCTGCCATGGGTGCTCCTCTTCCTCTTTTACATGTTCCTTGGCGTAGACATAGTGTTCCATGGAGTGTACGTTTTTTTTTGTGTTTGGCAGTTGTATGCAGTTGTTTTTTCCCGGAAACGCGTTCAGTTTTCATGTCGCATAGAAAGCAATAGCTTGTTCACCTCGAGGTGGGGTCGCGCCCAGGGTTGAATTTGGAAGAACAATCTTTGTGCATTCCGTTCCAAGGTTCTTTACATATTTTGCGGTATTGAATGCCACTTGGACCAGTTGGTAACATTTTTGTTGATCGAGAGTTGTCTGTTCCTTTCGATGTGTGGTGTCACTTTTCGAAAATTACAAAAATGCGCAGTTGATCCTTGTCTCAGAGATGGTCAGCTTCAGGTAATTACTGGCGTTTTCTGTCAGACAGCCATCGACAGTGCGCAGAATGATCACGCTACCGTGATCCATTCCATTCTAGCGAACAAGCAGGCGCACCTGGAGAAGGTGGGCACTCTTATATGTTTTTTGCATTGTGCATGTGGCCTCTTGCACATTTCCAAGATAGCGTGTAAACATTTATAAGCCACAGTGAAAGCAGGTGCGGGACCTGTTCAACAAGCTGGGGGCCGAGAACACAGGTGGCATCACTTATCTCATGTTCGAAGAGAAGATCACTTCGCCGGAGGTGAAGGAGTATTTCGAATCTCTTGGATTGGTGGCTTGTATGCAACATGGGGCACGCAGTTTTTCGGGGATGTAGCACATTTTTTACAGGTTTGTTTTCCATTTCGTGTATTCAGATTTGTTGCGTTTCTTTGGCAGTCGGGGGGTCTGGTGGTCGGGCGTGTGCAACATTTTTTCATGCATCAATGCCATACAGCACCGGAATCAGACGAAACGCAGGACATATAGCCATGATTGTTGGACCCCAACAGGCAATGGCTAGTATTGCAGCACTAGTTTGGGATGTCACACATTTATGTAGATTTTGTCCAATGTGCCGAGGACGTGTGGGATGCTTGGTCTTTTTTCAAAATGCTGGACCTCGATGATAGTGCCTGGGCTTCCAGCTACTAGGAGCGGAGGCTGAAGCTTTCGAGCCTAAAGTTTGCAGGGTGACGGGCAAGGCTTTGCAGCTAGAAGCGAACTCTCAACATTTCTTGTCCTCGAGCATTTGGCAGTAGAGTCGGTACAACAAGTGTACATGTGCAGGTGCTTGGGCTAGCCGGCAGACAAGTGTCCAGCAAATGTGTGAAGACCTTGAATGGGCATGCTCGTCATTTGACGTTGTCCGTCAGTTGCATCCCGAGGTTGCGCTAAGGCTGTTATGGACATTAAAGTTAAGTTACTAGAATGGTGGAACCGTATTAGCTGCTATACATACCCATTGTGGTAACTTAAGGCGTTCAGGGCGCATGCTATTGAGTGAGTGCCATGCAAAGGTGGCGCCGTTGATATCGAGGATGCGCTGTCTTTGGCGACATTGCTACAAGGGCTTTCTCTGTAAGAGGCGTTCGATCACCACCCCTAATCGTACTGTTCTGTAGTATCTACCTAGCGTTTTCAAAAAAAACACCTTTTCATGGGGTGTCCCTCACTTCTCGTAAAGCATAGGGTGTTGTTACTTTTCGGTGGATTTCCCTTAAGTGATCCTGGTCCTGGAATGCCACGATTGTACCGGTCCCCATAGGTGCATTCGTTCGCGCACACGACAGTTCGTAATTCCAATGGTATGTGGAGCATGGAAAAAAGTAAGCAGGAAGTATGTAAGCAGAGGGGTCATTCCCCCTTACAGCAACTGTCCGTAAAGGGGCTTTATTAAAGGGTTACTAAAACTCTTATTGCCCTTTGTGGTAACTGTAGGGGGGAAGGACCTAAGTAAGCTGTAGATTACATTATGCCAACTTTAGAGTGTAAATGGTCTCTATGTGGGAACTTTTCAAGATGATCCCCTGTCAGGACTCCTCCCGAAACCATTTTATAATCCCAATATGTCCCTAGGCTTCCAGGGGTTCCCCTATTCTAAGAAACTCTTATGTAGAGATTACATAGGGTTCTAGGTGCAGTGAGGATGCTCTTGGCCTGCATTCGAAAAAGCTTCAGGCCCTAAACTATCCTAACCCCTAGGCCCTGTTTCTTGAGGCCTAAACCCTAAACCATCCTAAACCCTGAACCCTAAACCATCCTAAACCCTAAACCCGAAGCCAAAAATAACCCTAAACCCTAAACCCTATCCTAAACCCTATCCTAAAGCTTAAGCCCTAAGCTGAGCCACACCTTGAACCTGAGTTTCAATGTTTGTGCAGCATGGCATCCTCTTTACGTGAGTTCCGCGCTCGGAAAGGGGATGGTGACCATGGTATATGGGTACCTCTTTGGGGGTTCCTATAATGAGGATTGTATGTAGGGTTTAGGGTTTAGGGTAGTTCCCAAAATTAGGGTTCCGTTTTGGTACTCTGTAATACTAGGTGCGGTAATATATTCTATAACCAAACGGGGCTCAGAGGTTTGAGAACAACCCATATGGGGTCTACACTTCGGAAGAGAACAGATGAAATGCCCTAAACTTTAAACCTTAAACCCTAAACCGCAAACCCTAAACCCTAAACCCTAAACCACATCAGTTCGTTCTCCTTGTCAGGAGTTCTTAATGGGATGTCTACGAGTACGAGGCAATGCCAAAGCCATTGACATTGGAAAGAGCCTTGTACCTCAAAAGCAGGTTTAGTTTAGCCGTGGTACCCACGCCCAAAGTGACATGCCACCCCAAAAGGCCTCTGCCAAAAGGGCAGCATAGAGCCGTTTTGCCATTGCATTTTAGATTGAAGGGGTGTAGACTCTTGAGCCCAGAATGTCTGCATGAGAGACGCAGTTGACGGCTCTTACTGGGTTGCTGTTAAGGAACTTAGATTAAGTTTTCCATAATGGGTGTATATAGTAATTAGTAGGGTTTCCCCAATATAGTAGCTTGAATTAAATTTCTCAACAGCAACCCAGTTTAGGTTTTTGCGTTTCTAGAGCCAGGGAGGAAAGTCAAGTGGGTGTACGGCAGAAAGCTGGCAAGTGCACCAAGTTCACTCTTGGCCCCCAGACCTTTCCCCCTAAACCCAGGGATATATAGGGGTATGTAGGCATAATGGAAAATAACATGGAAAGTACTGTAGTAATAGGGCCTATAGGGTCTAGGGATTATTATTATGTAGGAGTTTAGTATAGGGATAGGGGTAGACATAGCTCAGCAAGTCACATTCCTTTGCGAGGCTCATACTTTAGATCTCGCTTTGCACAACGTCACTCTGGAAAACGAAGCTATGAAGCCCTGCACCCTTAACTTTAAGCCCTAAATCCCTCAACCCTAGCTAACGCTCGACGAGCTGTAGTTTAAACTTTTTGAAGGGGAGTTATATAGGGGACTATATAGGAGAGTATTATAGGGGTTAGGAGCACTAGAAGTTTAAACTACAGCTCATATAACCCTAAAGAAAACCTACAGCACAACGGCTGAAGTTTTTTTGTTGCTCCTGCCTACAAACAATAACAGGTTTTACGGTTTAGTGTTTAGGGTTTTGCACGTTTGGTAGCCAAAATCGAAGGGAAACTGTAGTTGGTAGGGATACTTCTGAGGTTTATTGGTTTGGGGTGTAGCCTGTTGGGGTTTACAGCAGTCCCACGCAGTCGCAGATGATAGACCCTACACCCTACATCTTTTTCCTCCCTTCATTCCCTACCAACTACGACTTGCCTTTGTTTTTTTTGTCGGGGGCCCTGAGGGATTATGAGGGTCCCCTGCAATTTTGGGAAAACATTTATCCGTTGCGTCTTCGCTTGCGGGAGGGTTCCCTTTCGGAAGTGGATTCCAAAAGGAAGACTGGGTGTTGCTGAACCTCAAGTCCTAAACTCTCAGTTCCTAAATCCTCAGACTTTACCACCCACCACACCCCCTCAAAAAAACACAAACACACACACACACACACGCACACACACACACACACACACACACACTTGTGCAATCCTCCCTCTGGACTGGTTGGGA